CAATGAGAAATAAAAACTGAATCTTAAAACACCCTCATTACACTTCTTCCTTCTTCCCAGGCTTAACTTCACCCCTGATTTTCTCTCCCTCCTCCTCTCACAGCTTCTCTAGCTGTGTTTTACAGGGTTTTTCCCATTCTAAAAAACATTATCCCTGAAGCACTGCCAGTGTTGCCCATGGGCTCAAGCCTTGTCCAGCAGTGGGTCCCTCTTGGAACCACTAGCATTGGCTCCATCAGGCACAGGGAAGCTTCCAGCAGCTTCTCACAGAACCCAGCTCTGTAGCCTCCCACTTCCCAAACCCTGCCACACAAACCCAGCAGGGTTGGTGACTTTCCCATCACACAGTGATGCAGTTTTCCACCATGATTCAGCCTGAGTAGCTCAAAGGTTAAATTTTTCTGTGATTTGAGCATTTTCTGTTCACTTACTCCAGCTTTAGAGCACCCCACCATGACCACTGGGGAAATCACTGTGTCTGCAGAATGGGGCTACTGCCTCCATCCCCTTCTCCAGCATCACTGTCAGGCAGGGATTCTCCCACCACCACTCATCCCAGAGTAGTGGGATCTCTCTGGGCACCCTGGTGAGGACTCACCATCTATGGAGGCCAGGGATGCAGTGCTGCAGCCAGAGCTCCCTCATCTGCTCTCCAACACAAGTAGGGCAGGTAGGAAACGGTCCAGCTCCATGGGCAAATCCCTCACAAAGGTCTTTCTGAGTCAGTGGCTTCATCTCACTTCATCTGGGGCCTGTCAGAATTAAACAAACATCACTCTCAGTGTGGCTGCTCCTGGATTCATCGAGTGCTCACAAGATGCTTATCAAGCATCTGATGGCAAGTTGCTGTTTGAGTTAGAAAAAGCCCTATTAGTTATTACAAAACTCCAAAGTTTCCCAGCTGAGTCTCTCAGTGTGATTTCTGGGGTAGCACTGGGGGGCTGGTGGAGCCCATCAGCCAAAGGCTCAGGCTGTTCCCTGAGCAGGGCAGGATGGATGGGGCAGCCTCCAGCTCCCCGAGATGCTGGAGCAGAGCCACACAACGTTTCCCCAGCACTGACACCCCAGGACTACCCTCGTCAGCTCCCTGTCCCTTGCCCACATCCTCGCAGGGGGTCACGCTGTTTTAGGGGCCCTGTCTGCTCAGGAGGGCCCCCAGCTCCCCACAACCCCCCTGGGTGATGCCCTGCTCCTGCCCAGGTGGGTTTTGTCCCCCCATGGCTCTGCCACACTTTCTGTTCCTCCCTGGATTAAGAAACCCAGGGACAGATATCATCCTGCAGATGAAGGATGCTTTGCACGCTCTGGAGATATTCAAATGAAATGTGATGGAATATATACAGGATACTTAGAGGAAAACAAAAAGCAAAGCTCCATTACTAGAGTGTAGTGGGTTCCCCAGTTCAGCCACTTCCAACTCGTGATGTAGAGAAAGCCTTGGGATATGGAGAAATGGAGAATCCCCAGAGCAGGCAGTTTTACACACTCTTGTGTGTGACCTGACTCCCACCACCCTTATCTCACCGTGGAAATTTCCTACATTGAAACATCATGCAAGATCAGAAGAAAATTTTGACTTGCACAAAAAAGACCTGTTGTCCTAATTGGGAGCAACTTTGGAAAGTGCAGATAAGGGAAAAATAAGTTTTTTCCCTCCGATTCAGCAATCTTTACAGCCATAAATTGAGGTGCTCCCTCCAAAAATACACACACAGGTACAGATCACCAAAATATCCAGAGGCTGTGAGCTGAGACAATGCAGGCCATGAGCATCCTGGGCCGGGTCCTGCTCCCCCTCCTGGCGCTGTTGGCCTGCCAGGGTGACGTGGTGACCTCGTGGACACACACACTGCGGACCAACATGCTGAAGGAGAGCATCAGGCTGCTGCACCAGCTCCAGCAGACAGAGGTAGGGCTGGTTGGGGCTTTACCTGCTGAGGGGAGGGACAGGGAGGTTCAGCAGGCTCGGGGAGAGCGATGAGGACCCCGAGGGAGGTGCTGAGCACGGGGCTGGCAGTGCTGGGAGCGTGTCTGTGCGTGCACGTGTCAGGATGGGCCCGGGCAGCGCTGCCTCCAGCCTGACTGCTCCTCTCCTTTGTGTCTTGGTAAAGGTTTCCTGTAACGAGATGAACGTGACAAATATTTTTGCAGACTATAAGGTAAGAAAGAAAAGCTAACTTGTCCTTGTTCAAAAATAATCATACAACCCTGATGGGTACTGGGAGAGGATGCTGGGGGCAGAGGACAGCACAGGGCAGTCAGAGGCAGGTGGGAAGCCCAGGATTGCCCCTGTTCTGGTGTGGTGCTGTGGAGGAGCAAGGAGCCCACTGTGAGTCCCCAGGATCAGTGCTGGGCTGACCAGTTGGTCCTCACTGCTCCTGGTGCCCTGCACAGGTGCCCTCACCTTCCCAACACACCTCTGCCTCCCCGAAGCAGCATCGGCGGCTTCTGGTCTGGGCCAGGGGGAGGGATGGGCCTGTGCTTGAGCAGGCTTGGGGGCTTCAGCTTTTCCAGAAGGAAGAGAGGGCCATGTCCCTGTGCCTTGGAGTGCTGTCCCTGCCCAGGCACCCCTGAGCACTGGTCACACACACTGTCCCTCCTGAGCCCCTTATCTGGGGATGGCTCTTCAGTCAGCACGAGATATAATAGCAGATAGTAGAGCCTCTTTGTGCTCTGAGAACTGCTGCCTAAGCCCAGCTCCCAGCCCCAGAGTTCCTGTTTTCACAGCAAGCCCACAGCCTCACCTCGTGCTGCACCGGCGGGTGGGATCCGAGGGGTGCAGCAGCCTTCCTTCCCTGGGGGGCTGGGGGTCCCCACACCCCTCCTGCCACAGGGACTGGCCCTGGGAGGGAGGAGAGGTGCCCAAAATGCTGCACAGCACCACGTTCCCAGATCTGTCGCTGCCCACAGGGCCGGGCCGGTTGCTGGTCTGAAGCTGCTGTTGGGGTGAAAGCTGAGGAGATGGAGCAGGCAGAGCTCTCAGGGACATGCCCATGTGGGGGCACGGGGATCATCCCCCAGGGAAGAAAGTCAAGTATTTTTCTTATTGCCACCAGCACCTCACTTTTTAGCTCCTCATCTTCTGCGTGTCTCTGCTACAGGACTTCTCAAAGCCCCTAATGAAGGCAACCTCTTCCCAGGCACTTTTGTTATTCCTGAAGCACCTCTGCCTGCTCAAATAGCTTCACTTCCAGGGAATTCCCAGGGAGCAGCTCCCCAGGCTCAGGATCCCACAACTGCAGCAGGAGCAGGATGCTCCAGCACAGGGGTGGTCACTGCTGTGCCACCCTCTGTCACAGCTTCTGCCAGGGGCTGATGGCACCCTCAGCAGGACAGGGACGGGAGCAGAGCCTGCTGTGCACAGATGGGGCCGGGAAGCTTCAGGGAGGCTTTGGCATCTCAAACTGCACTTGGCACCTGTAGAACAGAAATATATTATTTGCAGGGTGGCGTTTTGTTGGGTTTTTTTTTCCACTAATGAAGCTGTGGCTGTACTAAAGTTTCTTTCTCCCCAGGCAGGTGACACCATGGAGATCTTGTGCAAAGCTGCCACAGTGGTTCGGCAAGGCCGGAGCTGCCACAGGTCCCTCGAGGGCATTTATGACAACCTGCTGGGCCTGCTCCGGGGGAACAGGATGGAGCACAAGGTGAGGCACAGCTCCCCTGCACTGCCCCCACCCTCGAGCTTCTCCCTCGGTCACTGCTTTTGTTTTACTCTCCCACCACCATTAAGGGCTCAGCCCAGGCTGCAGAACCCAATCCCTCCCCAGCAAGCTTCCTAACAGCCCCTTCTTCCCATTCCAGGCGCCGTGTCCTGTGGCAGCAGGCAGCACCACCTCACTGAAAGATTTCATCAAGGAATTACACCAAGTCCTTCAAAAACAATACAAGAATCAGAAGTGAAAAGGCACAATTTGTTTGTTTTTAAACTATGAGTCTATTTTTCAAAGATTATTTATAATAATTCTTTAAATAAATGTATTTTTGGACTAAATTTTCTGGCATTGCATAGGATGCTACACAAGACAACATGCATAGGATGCTACACAAGTTCACAGGCACTGGGGTGATGCTGTAAGGAGTTGCCAAAGGATTTGTCCTGCTATGGGATTAAGGTTCATGCTAAGATGAGGAACACAGGTCTAAGCAGAGGGAGACCAAGAGAAGGCAGACAGGAGAAGCCAGGCCACAAATGGGACCTGTTCTGAAAGCTGTGAACCCAGAAAGATGCCAGGTCTGGAGCTAAGCAAGCCCTTAGTTCTCCTTTCACTTTACTTGTAGCCTGTATTATAACCCTACATATATATATATATATGGTATTTATAGATGGCACAGCCCTTTGTGGCCCAGGAGTACAGAGGCTCCAGCAGCAACAGCAGTGAAATGGCAGTAGGGAACCAAACCTCTGGCTTGGGGAGGATTCCAGGCTGGGGCAGACCTGGGGGGTGGTTAAAGTCCCTCCAGCACCAGGGACTGGAGCCATGCAGGTACTTCGGTGTCCACCACTTGGCAACCAGTTTTGGCACAGCATGGGAGAGCACTCGGCGAAGTGCCAGGGCCGTGCAGGGTTTGGTCTGTGCCGAGGAGCTGCAGTGTTTGCAGGCACAGCACGGCTGCTCCAGGCACTGAGCCCAGCACAGCTCCTGCAGCAAGGGGAGCACAGCGGGACAGGGCCCATTCCCACAGGGAATTAACCCCGGGCACAGCGCAGGCTGGGGGGAATTGTGCAGCACAGGACACAGCCAGGACAGCCTGCAAGGCCTTCTCCCCCCAGCTGCACCCCCAGGACACACACCCACACTCCCCAAACTCCCGGCTCCAGCCTCCCCAAACTCCCGGCTCCGGCCTCTCCCGCCTCACCAAATTCCCAGCTCCAGCCTCCCCAGAGTGCTGTGTCTCAGCTACACAGACCCTTCCTCACCCACCTTCTGACACCACCGAGTTAGAAAGATGTCGTGTGTATAATGTTATTAGGATAAAAAGCATGCAGAGAGGTGGAATTAGGAATCAAGAATTTTATTTCATGGTATGAACATGCTCCAGGGACACAATACTGATATTTACAGTATAATGAATTAACTTTAAACATAAAACAAAGAATATTCAAAAATAAACAGTTAGAAAACCAATAAATAGGAAGACAAGTTATACAGACTAGCAGGTTTTCCCTCTATACAGGCCTGGCTGAGCAGAACTGCGGAGAAAGGTGAAAGCTGGACATGTGCAGACAGTATAGTCAGTGAAAGGCACTAAGGACCATTTCCCCTCCTCTTAAAGGATCAGGAACAAGTTAAATATGAAATAATTCATTTACATGACATTAAACAACATAAAGCAGAAACCTCAATGTTAAAGTCAATGTTCTGGAATGAGGAAAACCTTCTGGTAGCAAGATGCAAAGATGAGCACACAGTATTTATTATGTAATGTGAGTTTTGATAAATACTATAGAGCATGTACTGACCTGGGATGGCAATGGTGGTATTAAGCTCTTAAAAAAACCCATACAAACCAAATCCCTTCCTCATCAAAACATATTATGGGCCCATTAGAAATTCACAGATGGCCCAGGGCTACAGAGAAGGCCCAAGTGGTAAACCTTGCAAGCCAGACTCCTTGGTTTTACAGAAAACTTCCCAGAACTTCAGCAAAACACACCAGTTAAAAGGAAAGCCAAGCTGATAGAGCACACGACCACGACAGTGTTCCACTTTATTTAAAGTCCTCTAAAAGAGCAGCTAATTTGTTCTCCAAGACTCTGTAACAGGAGATAACCAGTTTCTCCAATCTGCCAATTAAAGGCATGCAAGCAATTATTTATTGTTTTTTCTGTCTCAAGGCTCACTTAAATATGCAGAATACTATTGTTTTTAGCAGCAGGACTGTAACATTAATTGTAAAGCATATGCCCTTATAGTTAAGATTTAAATATTTTAAATGCAATGCCATGGTCCACAGTGGTATCTTGAAGCCACTGGTGTCTGCCAGGTAAAAGAATTTTCAATGGTCTTTTTGAAAGCACAGTTCAGGAGAAACTCCCCTTAAGACCAGATCAATCAAAAAATGTTAGCACAAGAGGCAACACAAAAAGGAAATACAAGTTGTCCCTGGTCCTGAGAACTGGTACAGGTCACAGCTGTGCATTTATCTGCTTGGACTCAGAACTGACAGGAGACTTCAAAGAGCATTGAAGCAATTTCAGTCTGTTTTGTTTGATGAGAAGGATGAAACACAAGATAACCCAACTCTACTCAAGGATGTTCAAAATACAGCCAGCTCTTCACAAGCAAGACCAACTGCAGCTCAGATTAAGAAAGACTGAGCATTTACCTCTAAGGGCTAGGCTAGAGAAAACAAATGCCAGTGTCTGTGTGTTCTATGAACTTAGGTGACACCTCCTCCCCCAAAAGAGAGCAGTACGTTCTTCTAGGTCATGATCCCCAAAAAAACACATTAAAAAAACAGGGAAAAAACTTACAACTCGTTTAGAATAGCACTGAAGATACCATTCAGAGTAAAATATGCCCTTTCAAGACCAGTTTTAACTATTCCAGATCCTGTCACAGAACTGTTACAGAGGCCCAAGGCATCAGGGCTTCTAACAAGAGCACACTGGTAACTGCAGAGCAAGGACTCAGGACACCTGAGGAGCTGTCTTGTGCTCTGTCACACTGAAGGATTCCATTTCTCCTGTCAGCAATCACAGCTTTTGATCCTCCAGGTAACCCCAAGATGCCAGGGAGGTCAGAGTTCATCCCCCTCCATGGCACAGGAGCTACTGAGGTGCCCACGAGCTGAAGTGATGAGTTATGAAGCACACACAGTCAAAAGGAGATACATTTTCTCTGTGACACAAAAGCAATGTATCAAAGTGATATGTGTCTATTAGCAGCATAAATATCAAAGAAAAAGAGCAGCCATCACAAACAAATGGTTATTATCAGAGACCAGAATTTTTCTCCTCTCATCAGAGCATAGCCAGAGACCCAGCACAGCCTACACAGGAGCACAGACAGCAGCAGCTATTTCAGGGGATGTTACTGCTCTGGGAAAACTGGGCAATTCCTCCTGTTTGACTGCAGAAGAGTCAAATTCATCCTCAGTGTAGAGCACTGGCCTAGAGCCAGGGATGAAAAAATGCAGTCACAGTGCTCACAGTCCCACAACTGGCACCCAGTCCTGGGGTCACAGCACCCCTGAAACCCCCTCTGCTGACACCCAGTCCTGGGGTTACAGCACCCCTGAAATCACCTCTGCTGCTCAGATTACAAAACTGCTCACATACATTTTAAAATTCCAGCCCCCAAGCACAAAAAGTAGCCAAAGCAATGCTGCAACGCAGCCTTAAAAGAAGGAAAAAAGCTCTCTTTTGCCTTCATATCTAAGGTCTCATTCTCCACAGTGCCAGCAGATCCCACACAAACTGATAAAAATACAAGCATTACTAGACACACTTGATTTCTGCTGCACTTCAACAGAGCATGGTCCCTTCTCAGATGTCTCAGATTTTTGTAGTTCATGTTTTTCCTATCCAGTTACTTCCTCTGTACAGCAAGACAGCAAAAAAGGACTGTGTATTTGATACACAATACTGTCAGGTTAACAGCCACAGTGAGGAATATTAAATAAAAAGATTTGATGCTCTTAAAGGTTTGCAGCAACCACATTCAAACACAGATCAGTGCAACAGAGGACAATAGTGAAAGCTGCCAGTTATGTGCAAAGCAGGGCATAAATCAGATCTACCAGCCTTAATTTTAGGATTTCATTAACTGTTTAGAACTAACATATCTAGCACTTAAACACACATCTAGAACCCTTATTTCTATACATTTCAACAAGGATTGCCAACAAGTTTCCCTGCACAACACGTTTAACACATGGAATTTCACAACCATCATATATACCAGTTTAATATTATGTTAATATAACATACAATATACAGGCAACTAAGGAAAAATACATTTTTTTTAAATAAAAAATTATAGCCATGTTAAACTGTGCCATCTCTTGAATTTCATGTTCTGGCCAAACCACATACACTCACTGATTTTTACAGGAATTCTGACCAGGTCACACTACTGCAGCAGGGAGTCAATGACAGCTCCTGGCTTGGCCGAACGTTTTCTGTTTGGAGAGCAGAAAGGAAAGGGAAAAACAACACCACACACACATCATTATGCTGTCTAGGAAAGACAGGGACCAGCCACATTTCAAGTCAAGAACTACAGTGTTACTCTTCCACAAGCAAAAGCAACCACGAGTCGCCAGGAAAGCCCAGGCTGAGATCTCCCCTGGCAGTGCTCTCCTCTCCAGCAACACCCGTCTGCACTGTCAGACTGTGCTAAACTGGAACAGTCACATAAAGCAAGAAGCTGCAAGAGGGGAATGCAGCAACAGAGTATCAGAAAAATCCCTAGACAAGTCTTTCTGGACAAGATTTACTGCAGTAAAAGAGATCTCAGCATGGTTCTGTCACACCAGTAAATTACATCATGCAAAATTTTAGTACTTTGCCTTCTCATTAAGCAAATGTTTGAAGACTTGTGGTAAGTTTGCATAAACAAACTTCAGCCTTCCCCTGGGTAAATCCCTCATTACATTCAGATACCCCAGAGTTCTTCACCTTCTACCCGTCTTGGGCCTGGATCTTCCTTTTGAAGTCCTCGGCCTCTCCAGCTTCATCAGGGATTGCCTCAAGCTTTCTTCAGTGTAAGCTAAGTAAACATGGGAAAGGTCCACTTCAAAGGGCTAAAAAAACACCAAAGAAACCCACAAGACAAAACCATCAGAATCATTTCATATACTGATCAGCGGTGCTTCTGTAACACTAGAAAGACTCATCTCTTCAAAAGCAAAGCAAACTGAACAGTTTGGCTGTAAATAGTGAGTGGTAGGCACAGGTAGCAGGACTTGGACCTGTGCAGTTCAATACATCAATCAATGCAAGAGCAACTCACATCTTTCTCTTTTTTATCCAGGACAGGTGTCTGTTTCCTCATATTGTTTCCTGTATATGCCACACATTTCTGAAAGATGAAAGAGAGGTCTGTTAGTAAAGTCTACTGTACACAGTAAACTGTCTACAGCTTTATCAGCTTCTTGCTGGGCTCAGTTAAACTCCTCAGAAGCTCATGGTAACATTAGCTGGTACACAGCCACTCTTACCAGCTGCCACTCTCCTATGTCTTCGTTCCAGTGAACGTAGTTCTCAATCATTTCCTAGAAAGAAATCCAGACAGTAGTTGTTAGACTTGCACAATTTACCCCCCTAGGTGCACTTTCCACAACATGCATCTCTAAGGCCTGCACAAGCTGCTTAGGAACAGTCTTAACCATTCCAAGTTGTTTTTAATCAGGACAGCTACGCCATGTGCAGAAAACACTATTTAGACTCTGAAGACTACAGAAGATAAAATACCACTCCCAAACTGTATATATTGGAGAGCCCACTAAAGCCTGGTGGGCTCCACTATGCCAACACCATCAGGACAGCAATAAACACGCATTGTAACATGAGAAAAAAATTAGGAGGAATTGGTTTTATATTTTCTATTAGTGTGCATTATATTTAAGCTCATGATTTTTCTGTATATTGGAGTCTAAGAAAACAAGACGTGAAGAGTTCCAAATTCAGTTTTACTACTTTGTGATAGTACCAAACATTAGCAAGCACAACTTCAAGCACAGTGAAAAAAGATTTTGAACAGATCCAGGACATGGGTACACAGTGAATACACCAGTTAAATACATGGTGAACGTGATGTTATTATTTTTTAAATGACAAGGAAAATAGGCTGCAAGAGAACAGAGATCAGCACAGCCCCTGTGCCAGGCTCAGGTGCTCTGCCTTTACCTGGTAGTCCTGAGGAATGAAGTTGTCTATGATGAGCATCTGCAGACGGAGCTCCCTGCTCAGCTGCCGAATGTTCTCCAGCAACCCTTCAATCTCTCTCTGATGCTCCTGTTGCAGATCTGCCATCTGAAAACAAACCAGGCGTTTGAGAGGCATCAGACTTAGCTTAAGACATGGTAACAGCCTAAAAGAGAACAGTCCTCTGTCTGTACAAGGTTTTGGGGAAACAAAAGCAAACTCTGGTTATAAGTACTAGAATATTTATCTCTGAAGGATAAACCCTCTGAAATATTCCAGCTTGGAGAGGGCTGAAAATAGCATTAAGTTCTCAGTTTCATAAACCCAAAACTGGCCTCCTGCCAATCCAAGCTCCAGCTCCGAGCAGATGAAAAGCATGCAGACAAGTTATATCCCTGGCAAGGTTTCAAGGAAAATCTCTCATCTCCAAGACCAAATGCATTTTTCATGGAACAGGGACTCCAGCCACCAGCCAAGGACACGTTCATCCAGTGACTGAGGAAGGGGTAACGAGGGCACCACTCAGAAAGGACAGATAGCTCAGAGCAGAGGAGGCTTTAGGTTGCAGCAGAGCAGGAGATGGTGCTCCAGCAAAAAATTTCAAACAATAAAACTGCATTTTATTTCAGAAATAACCAAACGTTTTCTTTGAAGTTCTGGATGTCTCAGGGTCTCACACAACCCTTCTCACCCTGGTCTGGGGAAAAGCTCTACAATGTGCCACTGCAAAACTCCAGTACCAGACCTCATTTAATATTTTTGAATTATGTGACCCAAATGGACAGCACAGAAAGACATTTCTAAATATATGGCACTTTTTCCAGCATTACAAAGCTGATGGTTCACCCTTCCCAGCTCCAGTCCTTCAAGGATCACTGGCAGTGAACTTCAGACACTAACCTCTGATTTTGCAGCCATGAGCATGGTCCAGACTTTCTTCAGCTTTTTGGTTTTCCCCTGTGCTTCCTCCTGGAGGTTGGTGTACTTCTCCTCAATGTCCAAGCGCTCTTGCTGTGTGCAACATTTAGCACAGACACCCACACATTAACACAACCAAAGAAACTCTCTGCAACAGTATGAACAGAAGGAGAAACTACCTGAACAAACAAAGCATTTGCCAGGAGTGGAGCCCTGGCTCAGCCAGGCTGGCTCAGCCCCACAGTGGTCGCAGTGGCCTCTGGAGGGGTTGTGTTTGCAGAGCAGAGCCAGGCCAAGGGACACAGCAGGGCTGTCCTGCCATGCTGTGTGCAGAGAGCTACAGCACAGAGCCCCACCTCCTTCTCCTCGAGCTCCTTGCGAAGCTGCTCTGCTCTCTTCCTTCGTTCTTCCAGTTCCATGTTTGATTCCTCCAGAAGCTTTTCTTGCTCCTCTGCTTTTGCCAGCAAGTCCACTCCTCCCACAATCACCTTCTTCTCCAATGCAGACAGTTTCTCCAACAGGGACTGGTGCTCTTGCCTAGACAGAGAAGTAGGTGTGAGACTTCCTACACTCCAGTGCTCACCAGGCAGCAGGTCCAGCTTGGTTTTATAGCCCAGACAGCACTCACAGGGCTGGAAAAACTTGTCTTGCTGTTTAGGGTTTAAGTGGGGGTGAGGCAGTGCACAGGAGCACAGGGAGTTCCCCAAGCCCCAGCTCCCATGGTTTTCTCTCAAGCAAAACCAGGTCAACAGAGAAATGTGTCCTGCTGTGTAACACCTCTGAGGGGGCTGCAAGGCCCCAGGGACACCACCAGGCTACTCAAGGCACCCCTGCCCAAAGGGGCCCTGCCAGCACAGCAGTGCCCAGAGGGAGATGCTGAAATGGAGGGGAGTGAACAGAGACCAAGGTAGAGCAGCTGAGATGCAAACCAGGAATGCTGGAGCAGCCCCTTGGCAGCAGGACTGTCCTATCTGCTGGGGCAGTGGGACCTCAGCAGCTCTTTGGCCTCAGAGGGGAGAAGCCCTGCACCCAAGGTGACATGCTTGTGGCTGTGCTGCAGGAAACCTGGCCTGCTACATGGCAGTACTGCTGCTCCTCACAGCTCTTGGCTCAGTCATTTATGTCTCTAGGCTACCTTGTACAACTTGGTAAAGTTAAGAAAAGAAAGAAGTGGCAAAAGGATAAAAGTTTGTCTTTTCCATCTGCCCTAAACTCTGAAAGCAGACTAAGCTCCAATTTCACCTTGACAGCAGCAAGGAATGATGTTCCCTTTCTACAGTTTGACAGACATCTCACCATGCATCTCCAGATATTCAAATGATTAAGGAAGGAAAAATGCACACAACCACACAAACTGCTGAGAGCACAGTACTCACTGAGCTTTAAGCAAGTCTTTTTCTCTCTTCTCCAGTTCAGCTCTGGCTTTATTTCTTTCTTCTTCTTCCATATCAAGTTTAGTTTCAAGAGCTTTTCTCTCCTCTTCAATCTTTGCTTGCATCTCTACCATCTTATCAGGGGAAACTTTTTTTTTGCCTTTTGGAAGAGATGAAGAAAATAAATGAGTTCACTGAAAAATAAGACAGCCTCTGTGTAAGAGCATTTTTTCCAAGTTCAGATTCAATACCGGCATTTAACAAAAATTTAATTACATTTGATTAGATTAGATTGTGATGGGCACAACTCAGTCTTTCAAACCCCATTTTAATATTGACCAGCTGTCACCAGTTCCTACAGAGAAGCAATGCTACATAACTGACACTGGAACATAATGCCCCCAAAATAGAAAACATGAAGAACACCTGGAGAAGGAACACTGCCTAAAGAGAAGCCTGAGCTGGAAACTCAGATGTTCTAACAATGCAGATTAGGCCAGAGGAAGGGAAACAGAAGACTGCCTTGACCTACAAGAGCTCAGCTACCAAGAGTCACATACTCAAATTTCAGATTAGCATCTCCACCACCCCCCTTGGTCACTGCCCTCCTTACAGGCTTACCTGTGCCAAAGTGGGCACAGAGATATTTTTAAGAACACACTACCATGAAAATAGAGAGACCAGAGAAATTCAGAACAATCCTATGAAAACCAGGCAACTAAAAGAAAATTTTGATGGTATTTGTCTATGGCACAGTGACTACCCACAGACTGGAAAGCACCAAGGTTTGCTGTGCCTTGTCAGCTGTGTGTTTACAATGGTCCTACAGCAGCACACATGGGCCAGTTCCTACAGTGTAACACAGTCAGTGGCCACAGCAACTCCCTGAACCCACTGGCCTCAAGGGTCTGTCCCAAACACACCAAGTTTGAAACAAAGTGTGAGGCTGCTGCTCTCGAGGTCATTCTGCAAGTCCTGAGCCAACTTTCACTGTAATCCCAGGAGCACTCAAGGCAGGTGAACAGAGATCCTTGGGGGTTATGTGGAGTGAGAATGCCCAGCCTACATGCATTTCCTCAAATCCACAAGTCCTAAATCTCCCTTTATTCACAGGTGAAGCCCTTCATTTTGTTGCTTTGTTCTTCTCCAGACATGAAAAAGCCCACCCTGTAGAACCCAGCTGCCCTGACACTCCCAGGGGCCCCTGACTGCCATGGCACTGGTTCTCTCAGTCACACAGGGTACATGGTCAGAACATGCCCAAGGAAGCTGTGCAGTAAAAGGCTTCTCTCCCTTCAGTCTTCATGGCATTCAGTTTCATTTGTATATATACATGATATGTATCCTATTTACAATTACATTATACTAAATACACATATACTCCAGCAGACAAAATGCAGTGCACATGCACACACCTGTACATGTGTTTGTTCATGTGCTCAAGAGCATTAATTACTGTTGTGGTAAGGTAAGGACTCTAGCATTACAGCAAACCATCTTCATTTCCATCTGCTAAACTTCAGAATCAGATAATAAGCACTTCTTTCTGAGTTTGTGGTGCAAAACTCTCACTAATTAGTCTTTGAGTAAGAAGCTTTCTGGAAGTGCTGTACAGAGCTCATCATAAAGAGATAAGCCAGATAAAGGCTTCTTACTGTTAGGACATAGGTCTATATATTCTCAGTTCAGGAGAAAAAGGTGAACTGAAGCAAGCTGTATGATCCTTTCACAAGCTCTGCAATTGTACTCTAAGGAGGTGAAAATCAATTAGACCAACCTGCTTGATCTTGCATTAAGAGGAAGTAGAAAGCAAATCGCAGAGAGGCAGCAAACACATGAAAAGAGGAGGAAAGAAAATATGTTATTGCTTTGATCATTTTGGACAAAGATCATTAGCAGCAGAACAAACATTAACTTTGTATGCATATTTCTGCACTAGAAAACACAGGATAATCATCACTAAAAACCCCTCCATTAGAGCAAACACTAATGTATCATGTTCTTATGCTAAAGCAGAGAAGGTTTGTGTACTTCAGAGTGCTTTGCATCTCCAGGATAACGTTCAGCTCACTCTGGCATTCTCCTGCCCATTCAGTGCAATGCTGGATCTAAACACAACACTGGGAGCCTGCCGCAAGGATCATGCCCTAAGAAACAGTCAGAGGGGGCAGATTCTCCTTCCATCAGAAACTTCATGCTTCCCCCCACTCAGGAGAGCCAATTCTGTTATATCACCTGTAAAATGTTAGCATACAGAATACATGTTCTAAGTTTTAACCAAGTTTCCAAGCCAATTCTTTGCAAGGTACATGAACAGTTGCACACAGGGAGTCTCAGCACAAGATTTCTCCATTTAATTACACAGGGGATTAGTAGGTTAATTTGCAGTAACTGGTGCTTCCATAGAGGTATAGAGCCACTTGTTATTCAAGCAAGTGCAGCAAAAAAGGCAGGGCAGGAGAGGGATAACAAAAGACACCACATGCAGAAGGGTCACACTTGAGGACAGTTAATATCCAAAACCACAAAAAGCCACACTTATCCTAATTGCCAAAAGCCCAGCACAACTTCCCCAACAGAGCAGCCTCCAAACCTGCAGGAGATGGACTCATCCACCTGCTGACACAGCAGCAGTTTGCTATTAACTGTCCTCATCCAAATAAAACACTCTGGTTCCAAGCAAGCTTTGAGAAAGCAAGACTGAAGCAAGCAGATTCCCAGGCTACCATCATATGACCCACTTGTCCCTGCAGTTGTGTTCCTTCTAAACCTGCTGCCAGCCTTCTCTGAGCTGATGCTTTCCACTACCATCACTAGGAAAATGTGAGTGAACCGTACAGCAACACCTTCCACACTCTCTCCACACAGGAAGAGAGGGGACTGATCCATCCAGGATAACCACAACAGTGGGGGAGTCCCCACGAGCTGAGTCCTGAGATGTGATTTGTTTCTTCAGTCTTCACTGACTGTAGGGTTTTTACAGGCAGAGAGGCCTCTCTGACCAGGAGCAGCCCAGGCTTTCCTCCTCACTAGATCAAAATTTGGATCTCTTGTTCCTCTGAACTCTCTGAACAGACATCAAGAACTTGATATTGTGGGGCAGTTAAACCCCCAACCACCAAGGATATTTTTTTAAGTATCTGGAAAAATATTGCAAATCAACCAAGTGTTGGCACATTTTCTTTGCAAGTATAAACTTTGTGCTGTTTGACTGTTAACTGCTCCATTCATTTTCTCCAAAACTAATTTGGAGAAGGCAGAGTCCAATATAACGTAGCACAGCCCATTTCACATGTCTAGTTGTCCTTTTGATGAACTCATACTGTAGCAATTCCCATTAAAAAACTAGCTTAGATTTTTTTCCCCATGTTTTAGAAGGCACATTTAACACAAGTTGCAAACTGGGTTACTTATTATTTCTCAATTGTCTTTAAATCTTGCTCAAGCAGTTTCTCATTCTCTCACATAGCTGGCTATCAATGTGCACATTGAACAACTGTTTTGAGCATGGAAGCAGCAAAGGAAAAGCATGCTTTAACAGAGTTACAGCCTCACGTTTATCTTTCCAACAGACAAAGCAGGGAAGAGTGCAACATTGCAGAATGGAGTGTGCAGATTATGGAAAGGCCAAAGCTTAAAGGACTTAAGAGCTCCCACTCACTAGTGAAGGACTTATCCAGAGGTTTCTCTATGACAGAGCATGTGGAGTCTGAACTACTGCTGCTGCTACTGCCTGGAAAACAGAAATGCGTCCCACAGAAACACCCAGAGAGGAAGAAACATGCAGATGGGAAGTTAGTTCTAAAGGAAAGAAACCCAGAAGAGCCAGCAACCTAGTTCAAAAAAAGCACAAGTTCCCATTAGGAAGCATTTGCTAGGATCCCTCCCAGACTCAGCTTGCAAAGCCACCATTTCCCAGCACAAAACTGCATGCTCAGAAAGACACTTCAGTTAAAACCCATCTTAACCAGACTACAGCTTAAAACCACATGCCAAGGCAGCTTCCATTTCAAGCAACAACAGCACAGAACACCAGATCATAGTGGAGAAGGCTGTGGATATCTGCCATAGCTGAGGATTCTGTGACAAGGAATCCTTTCCAGTCTTATGTACATGGCAATGTGCACTTCTCCCTCTGGAAGGCAGACTCAGCTCACACAGGGGCAGTCACTGCATACTCCTGCTAAGCAGCTCCCTTAGAAAACTTAACTAGAGCAGCTTGTTTGGGAGTTGAGTCAGTCAGTTATTTGCCCTGTACTCCTTTTTGAAGGTGGTCTCCTCCTGGGAGGGGATTTGGGCGTGACTTGGTTCTTGGACACAACGGTCAATCTGTTCACTTCTAGAAATAACCAAAAGGTGAAAAATGAAGTAGAATTTGTTACAATTATCACCAAAGGCATGACAAAGGTCATTTATGATTGCTTGGACAGGCACCAAAACGAAGAGAGTGCATCTAAAAGCAGGAATGCTTTAAGAGGAATTTTTTCAACAGATGTGGGTGCCTCAGGACAGGAAGGCAGTTTGCCAAAATGAGTGTACTAGAGAAGCTGGAATTTGAGGTGTAGCACTGGGCTTGAATTCTCTCTGCCTGTGAGGAATCATCAGCCAGGTTCCAGGAGCATGGCAAGCTCCCAGGAAGCCACAGCATGCCGTGGTACACAGTGACCTGCAGTTCCAGGTTCAGCCACTCCCCTGGGGGTTCAGATGTTATACAGTAGTTTAACACTGATGTAGGGCCAAGAAGACTTTATCACGGGATTTCCAGAGTGCTCCCAAACAAGGGATGTGCAGCTCCCTTTTCAGCTAGCATGAAGATACCCAAAGGTTAAGTTTTCCCTCTACCAACATAAAATAGGACACTAGAAGAGTCAGTTACTGAAGTCACTGTCCATAAGACAGATGAATCCTTTGCCTAAACCACAGCCAAAATTCCCCTCCAACCATACCCATGGTTATAAAAACCACATCTGCCTACAAATGATCTTTGGTGTCTCCTTCCTCCCACGTCTGTGAGCAGGGGAAGTTCCACACCACCAGTCAGAAGCCATCCACAGCCACCTTGCGGCCACCAGGGAGCCACCACAAAGGAGGATGTCACCACAAGCACAGCGACCCGAGTGGAAGCAGATACTACACAGGTCTGGAGCTGTCCATCCCCAGACAGGGCACCAAAGGGCTTGGTTTCTAGGACAGGCATGATAATTGCAGCGGCATAGGGCAGCTCTACAACTGCACTGGTCCCTGCCTGCCTCTGCCTACAGTTCCTCCCCCAGCTCCTGCAGGAGAGCAGACTGAGGGCACTGGCAGGAATCTCTGCAGCCTTACCCCGCCGTTTCTTCCGCTTCTCCCCGTCCTCTCCAATCTCCCCATCGTCATCTTCATCCTCCTCTTCGGAATCACTGGTCTCAGAACCAGATATCTCTTCCCCTGGAACAGAAGAGTGTGCTTTGAGATGTGCTTTCCTTCATCTCCTATCAGCTTGTTACTGTGACAGCAGCATTTGTCCAAACCCAGCAGTGCCTGACATCAGCTTAGGAGCTCCTGCAGAAGTCCTCATCTGCTGAGCAGACAGACAGTTTGCAGTGGCTCAGGAAACTTAAGGACAATCAAGATAAGCAATTGAAGGCTGTGATGTCAGTGTCTATGTGTTAGAGCTCAAGAGGCTGCTTTTCATGGAAAATAAAGCATCTTTCCACAGCTGAAGCTACAAAGTTTCCCTAGCAGCATCCCACCACACCTTCTCTTCTATCTCAGACTTCTCTCTCAGATGAAAGAGAAAGAAGCATTACTCTTTCCTGCTTCTCCTGGATAGGGCAGATGCCAAACAGCAAGTCATGTTGGAGTTACTGCTACAGCTGTTCTGTGCTGTAGCTCTGCAGAGAGATGTGCCAAGGTCACTGTTAGCAAGCATCCCTTTGGCAGGGTCACTCCATGTTGACAGACTTAGAGTGACACAAGACTATGAACCTACAGGGCTTAAAGAAGTTTCTTGTTTCTCTACACAGTGTTTGAAAGTCAGTCCCAGTTCTAGCTCCACAAATTTAATTCAGTTTTCCTCTCACTAAGTGCATCCTTCCTCCTCAATCAGGGAAAACATCTGACCTGCTGTTACAGTCCCTTTCAACTCCCTACACTGTGCCAGAGTCCCCCTGCATGCCAGGGAGCCC